CTGTGACCAAAAATAAATCTCATACTTTCACTAACTTAAAAAATACATATAATAATATATTCACATACAGTAGCTGGAGAAATATGGTATTAAATGGGTTAAGTGTTGTTACAGTTTTGGAATAACATAATGGGGCATTTCCCATCATGTTGAAATATGTGGCTATAAAACGTATAAATCTATAAAGCCTTTTATTGGTTAATATTCATAAATGTGGACTAATGGTATCATTTTGCCTTTGCATCCAACAAATGAATGATAGTTCAGCTTTAAAAATGTCACTCTGACATGACAAAAATGACACTTTTTCCTTTTTTTCTTAAATTTTATTAAATGAACTATAAAACTACACAAATCTCTCTTTTTGCAAAACAGTTTTGAGCAGCTCAAATGCAAATGATTGAATACAGGGGAAAGGTACCAAAACATTTTTAACCAAAAAGGGAAACATCTCTTTTCTTTCCTTAATCTCAATTTTTGAACTACACACATCCCTCATATTTTCCAATGACTGAAGCAAAGAGTGCACAAATGTTCTTTATGTCTCATTCTGTGTCCATCACTTGGACAGATTCATCCACAACATCCAGCGTTAATGGAGTCACTGTTTTTGTGAGCACAGCAGTAGTGCCTGGCTTGTATCTGTACGTACCCTCCCTGGATCATTGGAAGAAAGAGAGTATATTTAGTTGAGTCTTAAGATATTTTATTAATACATATGTATAGTTGTAAACTCAGAAGATTATTAAAAGACCATGGCAGTTTTGTATTGAACAACAATTTATTTTGGATGAGCTGGATGAGATAGCTTGAATGTAAACATTGTCATGAATTCGTTGCATTCCCATTTGTAAAATAGCCAACAAATTCATTGTTGTAGACTAACCCGATCTCATGAAAGTGCGTATAGCACGATTTTCTGCTTCTATTTGGCGTAATATTTCTATGCAGAAATTGACTTTGGCATGCAAAAGACTGATACATTCATAATTAACGGCATGGGTTCAGTCGACATAAATACGGGACACACAGGCCTATAATAACTGCTGAAATGTTTACGGGGCAAATCTCAGGTCAGTCTGAGCGCTCATGGTACTCACAGTGCAGCCGTACACCTGCAGGCGCCACTGACTCGGACGGTTGTCGTGGTAATAAACACCGTAAACAGCAAACGTTCGCGTCTCCGCGCTTAATGCGCATATCCTATATGAAAAGCATTTTAGGGGGCCCTAGGCTTTTGGGGGCCCAAGGCGGTCGCCTACTTTTGCCTAATGGGTAAGTCCGCCCCTGAAGCCAAGTATGGTGTCCCATACTCAGAATTTGTGCTCTGCATTAAACCCATCCAAGTGCACACACACATTATGAACACACACACACACACACTGTGAACACAATCATCTGTTGCATAAAGCCAGCCGTTTAGAGCCAGCTATTCGTATCATTAAAGACACTGACTGGCTTTTGTGGACTTTTGCTGGTCAATGAAACCTCAGTTAACCAGACTGAGAGGGTGGGCAGGGATCAATTGCTATTTCTTTTGTCAGATTCCCAGAGGCTCCTTTACGTAAGAGGCCTGGTGTTCTTCTGAGGAAAGGGAGAAAGCCGGGCCTAAACCACCATCTGCTTTTAATGAATCGTCAACGAGTGGACCTGACCAGCCTGACAACTCTCTATAAGACAATGCTTCAGGTGTTGACCTGATCCACAGCTCTGCTCTGCCCGTGATGAGTCTGGACACAGTGTCAGCCACCCCTGTCGATTCAGAAAATGAGACACTTTAGTGCCATGTCGCAACAGCATTAATGTGTGTCATTTTTTGAGCGAGTAAGCATGACTGTCTCCAAGCACATTGCAGTATGGCTCTGGATAACATCATTATGGAAGGTGCAGAGACTAGTGACTGAGATGTTCGAAGTTTTACCACTAAAAGTTTAGAGACAGAAGTGAAAAGAACCCATGGATGAAAAGAACCCATTCTACAAGAACAACATAATCTCTCTCTCTTTGCACCCATGCATTGTACATTAACCTACCGTTTAAAAGTTTGGGGTTGGTGAAATTTTTAAAATTCTTTTTGAAAGAAGCTCACCATTGATATTTGATCGTAAATACGGTAATATTGGGAAATGTTATTACAATTTGAAACAACTTTTTTCAAATTTTTATTTGAAAAAAGTTTTATTTTATTATATTTCTATTTGAATATATTTTAAAATGTAGTTTATTTCTGTTATGCAAAGCTGCATTTTCAGCATCATTATTCCAGTCTTCAGTGTCACATGATCCATCCTTGTTGATTTGCTGCTCAAGAATCATTATCAATGTTGAAAACTATCTCAAATGAACAACATTTTTTGAAACAGAAATATTTTGTAGCCACGTATCTATCAGTAGTTGTAACACTATTCCAGATGCTTTTAAAGTATTTTTCACTATAAATTTTACATTGTCATGAATTCGTTGCATTCCCATTTGTAAAATAGCCAACAAATTCATTGTTGTAGACTAACCCGATCTCATGAAAGTGCGTATAGCACGATTTTCTGCTTCTATTTGGCGTAATATTTCTATGCAGAAATTGACTTTGGCATGCAAAAGACTGATACATTCATAATTAACGGCATGGGTTCAGTCGACATAAATACGGGACACACAGGCCTATAATAACTGCTGAAATGTTTACGGGGCAAATCTCAGGTCAGTCTGAGCGCTCATGGTACTCACAGTGCAGCCGTACACCTGCAGGCGCCACTGACTCGGACGGTTGTCGTGGTAATAAACACCGTAAACAGCAAACGTTCGCGTCTCCGCGCTTAATGCGCATATCCTATATGAAAAGCATTTTAGGGGGCCCTAGGCTTTTGGGGGCCCAAGGCGGTCGCCTACTTTTGCCTAATGGGTAAGTCCGCCCCTGAAGCCAAGTATGGTGTCCCATACTCAGAATTTGTGCTCTGCATTAAACCCATCCAAGTGCACACACACATTATGAACACACACACACACACACTGTGAACACAATCATCTGTTGCATAAAGCCAGCCGTTTAGAGCCAGCTATTCGTATCATTAAAGACACTGACTGGCTTTTGTGGACTTTTGCTGGTCAATGAAACCTCAGTTAACCAGACTGAGAGGGTGGGCAGGGATCAATTGCTATTTCTTTTGTCAGATTCCCAGAGGCTCCTTTACGTAAGAGGCCTGGTGTTCTTCTGAGGAAAGGGAGAAAGCCGGGCCTAAACCACCATCTGCTTTTAATGAATCGTCAACGAGTGGACCTGACCAGCCTGACAACTCTCTATAAGACAATGCTTCAGGTGTTGACCTGATCCACAGCTCTGCTCTGCCCGTGATGAGTCTGGACACAGTGTCAGCCACCCCTGTCGATTCAGAAAATGAGACACTTTAGTGCCATGTCGCAACAGCATTAATGTGTGTCATTTTTTGAGCGAGTAAGCATGACTGTCTCCAAGCACATTGCAGTATGGCTCTGGATAACATCATTATGGAAGGTGCAGAGACTAGTGACTGAGATGTTCGAAGTTTTACCACTAAAAGTTTAGAGACAGAAGTGAAAAGAACCCATGGATGAAAAGAACCCATTCTACAAGAACAACATAATCTCTCTCTCTTTGCACCCATGCATTGTACATTAACCTACCGTTTAAAAGTTTGGGGTTGGTGAAATTTTTAAAATTCTTTTTGAAAGAAGCTCACCATTGATATTTGATCGTAAATACGGTAATATTGGGAAATGTTATTACAATTTGAAACAACTTTTTTCAAATTTTTATTTGAAAAAAGTTTTATTTTATTATATTTCTATTTGAATATATTTTAAAATGTAGTTTATTTCTGTTATGCAAAGCTGCATTTTCAGCATCATTATTCCAGTCTTCAGTGTCACATGATCCATCCTTGTTGATTTGCTGCTCAAGAATCATTATCAATGTTGAAAACTATCTCAAATGAACAACATTTTTTGAAACAGAAATATTTTGTAGCCACGTATCTATCAGTAGTTGTAACACTATAATTGTCTTTATTGTAACTTTTGATTAATTTAATGTGTCCTTGCAGTATTGCATGTAAATGTAGACGTACATTCAGACACAATAAAACAATTAATCGTAAAACAACGATTTAAAGTTTGGACAACGATATATTCTCTTGATATATGGATATATTTATAAGCTTCAGCTCATTTTGCTGGATGTCCATTCTGTTCAAACACTTTTTATTGGGTTTTCTTTACGGGCTGACTACGAATATGAATCACTGCCAAATGAAAGGAGACCTTTAAAAGTCAAAGGTCTGTCTTTTTGCTCTCTTCATCTTTCTTTCTCGTGGGAGGGTTTCTCCTTGGTAAATGATTATAAAATTTTCAGCACTCCACATAATTTATTTTATCTGAGAAGCATTCCAGAATGCAAAAAAATATATAATAATAATAATAATAATAATTCAAATAAAATAATTTAAAAAAAATGCAGAAACAGCACGACTTAGTCACCCTTGCCAACTAAATATAATAACTAAAAATATTCTGTCTGATATAAACCAGCCTACACTATGTAGTTTAAACAAGCACAAAACCCCAGTCACTGTTCACTTACCTTTTGTTCACTCTACAATCTCTATTCAGTGAGAAAAATGGTAGGGCCAGACATTATTTTATCTAGAGAGGATTAATTGGATAAATTGATTAAATACTGAAATAAAGCCATCGTGAATATGAGTTTGATAAAACTATTTCACTAATGGTTAACATTTATAAAAAAATATATATATAATAAAATAAAATAAAAAGTTCACCGAAAGTTTAGAAAATATTTATTCTACTGCTGTGAAAACCCCATTTTGGAATGTTTATTTTTGGAATAGCATGAACTGACAAATCATCGTCAGAAAGACCAGGAATGTTCATTAAGTGAATATGGTAATTTGTGATATTTACCACTGCAGGCTCTTTTTTTTTTTTTGCTTGTACACTGCAAATCTTACCTTCTGATCATGACTGTAGGCCAAAGCCCAGTCCTCTTGTGTGTGATGGAAAAGAAGACTTAAGACAAAGAAGTTCAAGCGGTACTTCTGATAACTGGCACCTTCATCTGAGCTGATGAGAACACTGCTTTCAAACTCTGGGTCAGTCAGCACCATTATCTAAGAAAAAATTGAAAGGCACAAAGGTTAACCCTGTAAAGTCTGACATATGAAATAATAGTCTATTAAAACATTTTTAAATATGAATTCAGTGAACCTTTAAACAATCAGGGCTCTGTAGTTATTATTGTTTGGGGCAAACCTTTAGTGCAATGCAATACAATGGTGATTGAGAGATGAGCAATAAACATTCCTCAAAAGCCTGATGTATCATTTTCCTAAAAATGCATGCAAAACTATCAATCCGACAACAGAAGAGATGTACAACAGTAGATTGTGTACAACATGTTTTTCAGATGCTTGGATCATGCTAATCATTTAGACCTTATAAATTTGTGTATCAATTATAATACAGTAGGGTGTGTTAAAAAGAATTGGAAAAGAGGTTTAGAGAGTATTAGAATGAACCCTATAGCATACTTGCTTAGTAAAAAGTAATTATTAGCCATAACATTGTAGGCATTTTAGTTTGAAAAGTTATTAGTGAACTTGCTGCTATCTGGCACCCTGCACCTTAGCTCATTCAACAACATTTAAAGGAACATTTCACACAAACAATAAAAAACCCTCGTATGACTTTTTTTTTTTTTCTTCCATGTAATTAACATTTTTTTTAGGTGAAATATTCCTAGGCTTTTGACCACCAACTAAAGCTCATACTAGGTCAAGGTTGACCATTACTTCCATTCTAAATTGAATAATAATGAGAGTGCGCTAACTACTGTAGTTCCACATTAGCACTGACTTTGGCTTAGCTTCCAAGCTCCTCTTAAATTGGTTCTGGTTACATGTATGCACAGAGGAAAATCTGTGGATGGGCATAGTGTTTAATTAAAACACAAATGCAAAACTATTCTGGTACTGAATACGTTGCATTATGGAAAGTGTTTCTTTTTATGCTCGTGTTGGACTGGGCGGTTGCATCTGATCTCAATGATAATTAAAGGGTAAGTATGTCTGTCTGCTCGTTAAATGGGCTCGCACCTGGAAGCCAGGCACTGTGTTCACTGTCATTCGAGGATTATTACAGTGCTAAAAACAGTTGCAGACATTTTCATTATGGATTTTTACTGCTTGAAAAAATATGACGTATGTGTCTTCGATGTTTAAATGAAACCAAATAGGTTCTAAAGCATTCTGGGGCACATTAATTTAAGAGTGCACACTTATGGTTGACATCTAGACACGACAATATTTAGTAAGCAAACTGTGAAACATAAGCTCGAGACCGCCTCACCTCTATCATCTCGCTCTTTCTCTCGCCTACATCCGCCCTAAATGTAAACGGCTGTTTTCTTCCCTCAACTGGATTTGAATTGGAAAAACAGTGGCGCATTTGTCACTGACAAAAATCCCACCCCTCTCTCCACAAGCTTTAACTACGAATCCTCCGAGGCGGTGATTTAGATAAATTGTTTTTCATTAAGCGCCAATAAACAGCCAGCGAAACGCAGCCAGGATTTTGTTGGCCTGGGCTCACCGATTTTTACTGTTCATTATCGTTATAAGAAGATGGAAAGAGGCCCCTTGTGTCTGCTGGTGTCTTTGGGCTTGTCAGATGCAATTCATAGATTTTAAGGTGTAATCATATTCTGTAATAGTGCGTTGGGTAACAGCATTTGTTATCAAAGGGAAATGATTTTTCACTTTGAGACCCTTGTCGAAGTTTTATTTAAATAACTTGCACATTTCTAGAACTTAACACTCTTAAAAAGAAAGGAACCAAAAGTGGAGTTTATCAACGATGCCATACACTGTATATAAAAAAAATTTGAAATCCAAACATTCCGATCGCTACGCTGAATATGAGAGGAAAGCGGCACAGAAAAGGAAAACGCCGAATATTCGGTGCATCTCTAATTCTTATCCAATACAACTAGATGTGATATGAGTGTGATACATACATACAAAGATGGCACGCAAGTACTTGTCTGCTCCGTGCACAAGTACTGACAGCGAGAGACTGTTCAGTGCAGCAGCTCATGTTCTCGATGAGAAGAGGAACAGACTTCACTGTGATAAAGCAGAGAAGCTAATTTTCATCAAGAAAAACCTGCCACTTTACCTCAAGAAGTACAATGGGCTTGTCTAGTGTTTAAATATTTATTATCCACTTTGCACATCTGCAATTCTTGGTGCATTTGTTGTTGTTAAAGTTCTAC